AAAGACCACTCCACTTATTGTCAATTGGTTTTGAAATGGAAGTCCAAAGTACTTATATACTTTGACATAGTATCAGTGCAGTCGGACTTGTGGTAGTGTTTTGGGCTGAAGGTGGCCCGTAATGTGGTGATTTTATATTCTCTCACTTGAATGTTGACTTGTGGGCTTGTTGTGGATCGATTCAACGGTATAACTGGCTTTTCTCTTACTTGAGTGTTGACTCGTGGGTTTGTTGTGAACCGATCCAGCGGTATAATTGTCTTTTTCCCACTTGAGCGTTGACTCGTGGGCTATTCTGTTCTTGTCTTGATCCAAGTTCATTGGGCAAAAAGTTCAAAGACTCATTGGACTTGAGGGAGGGTGTTAAGGTGTATAATCTGTCACCACCGTGAAGAGAAGTGACTCAGTATATAAGTTCCAAAGACCACCCCACTCATTGTTAATTGGTTTTGAGATGAGAGCCCAAAATACTTATATACTTTGACAGAATATATTGTAAATATATGGGATACATAGAAACAAATTAAAAAACAGAAGCGGTAATATGGTTCGATGATTTTGAACCAAAATGGTCGCATCTTTCTTTTTTCTTTTTGTCGAAAACTTTAGAGCCATCTCATCATGTTTTGCTGATTGTTAACAAAAGTGAGTTAATTACCATGCTATTTCTACTCTAGCCCATGGTCTCAAGGTCCTTTGCCTCAGCCACTTTTTGACTAAATATAGTGCTTCCTTATTTTTGTCCCGCCCAATACCACATTTGCATTAGCGTTTATAGTTTCTTCCAGCATTTTCTCTTATAATCACATGTCCAATACAGACATAAATTTTACTTATTCTAAGAGGTAGCAAATGAGAAAGAAAGAAAAGAAAGCCTTGAAAATGAAAAATCAAGCGATTACAGTAATAAAAAAAAAATCCGTTAATATAATTCTATCATATGATGCCATCCTAAAGCTCATTATTTATAGGAACAATTTACTTTTTGTAACTAGAAGTTTTGATTTCATTAATTTCTTTAACTCTCTACTATAGATTACACTAATATTAATGCTTAGTACTTTTTCATTCATAATTAAACATTTCAGTGAATAATATATAAACCTACCTAGTCATCTAATTTGACTTTAGCCAAACAATAATAATAACAATAATAATTTTTACTCAATCTGTAACATTCATAACCAAAATAATAACTAAAAAAATCGTAAAGTACACTATTTAATTTCACAGCGGTATGCCATAATGCCAACATGCACCTAGATTTGCCGATTTTAAGGATTGTAGAGGTCGTCTAGGTTGGCAATACATCCAGACTGGCCTATAAATTTTAAGGTTCGAATCCACCAGAAAGCCATATTGAGCTTTAACCATGCCAGACCAAGAAGAAAAAAAAAACCCATAACAAATGGACTCTGTCATTGAGTCTGGAGTTCTTTTGAATTAATTGTACTTAATTTATATATAATATATATTCGTGTGTGTGACGTTCGGAAGGGAAATAGTAAATGAATGGGACTGTAGTTAGTCACCCTTTATTTTTGATTCAACCTAGCTAGCACTTGCACCATTGAAAAAGTTGGGGCAGAGATAATAAAAATGAACAATTATAACCATACACGATATAGTAGGACAAGGTACATGTATGATTTTAGAATTTTAGGACAATGTGACTGTTTTAGTGTTACATTTATATCACACTCGTGTCATTGTACGTATTTATCTGTAACGATCATTAGTCCATTGGCTTTAGCTTTGTTTAGAAAAATAATTTTAGTATAAATGTAAGAAATGGCATTAAGAAAAGTAAAATACGCGCATTAACGCTCTAAAGATGTAGATTTGACTTTTAAGAGTTTTTAATATATCGAGTATTCATTTACTCCCTCCGTCCCATAATTATTGTCCAGTTTGAGTTTTCATATTTAGTTCAAATTGTACTAAAAGTGAAATCTTAAACTGGACAATAATTTTGGGACGGAGGGAGTATTACTTTAATATAGAAAATGTAAAAAAGGTTTGCATTCTACACAATGGTTTATGGACAAACCTTTTTTCTTCTCCATCTCTTTTGTTTGTGAGGGGGTATAAGACCAACGAACCGAGAGTTTATGCATTTTTTTTACAATTGGTGTGAATCGAACTGATGATCAATTTTTGTTTAAAGTGTAAAGTGACTGATCAGTGAAGACGTTAACAAACGCACGTACTTTCAAACACCTAGCCCTTGTTGTCAATGCCGTCCTCCCATGAAACCTCGTACCGCGTCTATGGACGATGTATCCCGGGAAATGGGGATGATTTGAACAAACCCTTGACCTCAGAAACAATTTGTTGTACTAATGGTGTATAGATTAGGAGTAGTTCAGTTTAAAATATCATATTATTGACAATGATTTGCTAGCAAAAATTGACATAAAGACATGATACCAGAGTTTTCTTTTTACCCCGAATTTGATGTGTCATTACAAAGTCTTCAAATACAATAGATGTCACTATTGTGGTTATAATACACGTACTCATTCTTTTTACGTTTAAGAGTAAAAAGAACAAGTTGGTTTGCACTGGACAATTTACGTTTAAGAGTAAAATTCCGATTTCAAGTATATATGCAACTTAACTTAAAGAAGAAGCCCCCAAAATATGAATATGATCGCTTTCATAGACATGAAGATGACATTATTGTCTTTTTGATATTGGACAATGATTTATAGGATTCTTATATACTCCCTCTGTCTCATAATTATTGTCCAGTTTGAGATTTCACTTCTAGTACAATTTGAACTAAAAATGAAAATCCAAACTGGACAATAATTATGAGACAGAGGGAGTACCTTTTTATGCAATTAGCAGCTGTAAAAGGGAAAAAAGTGGTGTTGGACTTACATAGGTAGGATGTTGATTTCACAAAAAATTTGTTCATTTTCAAGTCTTCCAGAAATGGCATAGACAATTTAAGGACAACACTATCGTTTTGATAAGCTATGATATGCAATGTTGACATGAAATCTTGTTTTTCTGTGTTTTTTTGTTTGAACTATTTCTTGTTTTTGGAATCAGTTGACATGAAATTTTGGAACGCATATAATTGCACATGTCGCGAATCTGCAAATGTAATTGTGAAAAGTAAGAGCTAAATAATCAAATTTTAAGTTCCAATTTTTTTTAATTATTTAAAATAAACTTATTTGCAAAGTACAAGGGAAAACTCTTATTCACCCAGTTTCATTGAGATATACATATATAGGGTTAACTAAAAAGTATAATGTATTAACCAAAGAAAATCAGAATGCAGTCTTGTTTTTATTATTTTTTTTTACAGACCAAGGTATTCAACTTGGGAAACAATGATTTAAAGTAAAATTTAAAACGTAGAAAACAGACCCATACTGGGGGTGGTAATTTAGAGTTTGCTTTAAGAAAAGAGCAGACAAATACAAAATAGACCAAAAATTCATTCATAAGCGCAACTCGCAATCGATTGCTAAGGAAGGTTCTTATAATATCATCACTCTATTCATCTTTCATTAAAGTATTAAAAATTTATTAGAATAAGGTTACATTAAATTTGTAACCATGGTTCGATGTCAAGATTATTTACTATATTTCATCGGATCATGTATTAATGGTGATGTTAATTAAGATAATTATTCATACAATTAAAGAAACACATATTCTGATCATGAAATTTAATTTAAAGATTGTCCGTTCTTATTCACAAAACTATTCGCAAAATTAAAATCCTAATTATTAAGACATTATTTTAATTTTTAAATGTTAAAAAATTGGTAGATAACCCTTTATTACTTGATCAGGATTAGATTTTGCAATATCTAAATATATTTTATTATTCAGGATTAGTTCTATTGAAATATCTAAGTACATTTAATAAATATTTTCTTGTTGTTGAAAAGTAAAGACATAATAAAATTGCTTTGGAACTACACCCTAAGTCTAATGTAAGATGACTTTTTGAAATTTTTATGTTTGCCAATAAAATTCAAAAACACCCAAAAGTACGTGAATTTAATTGCCCGTTAGAAATTGTACTAAGGATTCCTCTAAAAGCCCTCCAAAAAAATTTATTTTTTTCTGTCAAAAAATAAATAATCGACTAAGTTGACCATTTAGATGAACATTAACTTTCATTTTTATATTATATATATTTTTTATAAGTCTTCTATTTTGGACTATTTTCTTTGTACAAAAGGAGTAATTTTTATAATTTATTTTTTAACCGAGCAATTAAACCTGATAAAAATAATATTAAAAATAAAATAGAGAAATGCTTACAATTCTCGAAATCTCTGCATATTATGCACAAGTTACGATTGGCGATCTGGCCCAGGTATCAAATGTAAGCGAATCCATAAACAATGGGCTTGTGTAGATTGTATTTTTTCGGCCTAAACCAAGTTTTTCTCCTAACCAAATTCCCTAAACGGCTAAACTACGTTGTTGGTTTTGTGATTTGGAACAAAAATATTTGTATTTATTTATCGGGTAAAATCTTTTTTTTTTTTATTGCAAGTCCACAAGCCAATAAGTAATTATATATTGGTTAAAAAAAATTACTCCAAGTCCACAAGCCACAAGTCACAAGTCACAAATCACAACCATAACCATATATTTTTTGGTTTAAACAATTATTAGTATCCGAGCTGACCTTTTTTAAAGGATCCAACAGGAATTAGAATTACCATGGAGAGTTGAAATCTACTGCGTGGTTAAGTGAAGGATAGTGAAAATGGGATTTGGCCAGAATTTCCATTAACTAAGCTGTATTTTGTTTTGTATGAGCCTTGAACTTCAGTTGTATTGATATGATGTAAAGGCTTTTGATAGTTGAATTTTAAATCGGCAAATCTTAACCATTATATGTTACAAGGTGACACTGGGAACTTTATAACATACGCTAATATCTATTTCCAAGGGCGAATAAGAGAGAAATGTTATGAAGTAATGTGGAATTGTGAAACCATCACTGTGAGAGAGAGACAGGATTTTATTCTCAGTATATTGCATATACACATATAGGCTTTGTGTAAAGTTTGAACTAAACAACAATTAGATAAAGTTTGAACGCAAAAATGTTACTCAAAACGGTTCATCAATTAGATCCTGATCGTAACAAACAAAGCAATATAAATGTGTCTATAGAATCAGTGAAACAACAATCACTATTTCCATCTGCGGAAAAAGGTCTTAAAAGCTTAAAAGAAACACAACTCCACTGACTGACTTATAACATTCTTGTGCTACAATATTTGTTTGAATGTGCAACTACATCAGCTCTGTTTCAATTGAAGCGCTGATAACACGGTTTGCGCGATGGTGAGACCGAGCAATATAATTGCAGCAACGAGGGAGATGATCGACCATGGATTCCCAAAATAATCGCGTCCCAACATCGTGAACCACCTCACGCTTTTCGCGTGCCACTTGCGCACCCTGTTCCTGCTGTACTCATTCAGGTGATGGCATTGATCAACGTAGCGAAACTCCCTTGGATCTTTCACGAATTCCTTGTAAAGGTTGTTGAAAAGGTGTGCCACTTGATGATTGTCACCAAAATCATTCTTGATGATTTTCGATTTCATGAGAATATCGACATCTTTAGGAGTATCTATCAAGTTGTCCAGCATGATAATGTAGCTCGTTATATCCTTGGAATGAAATCCAGATTGCTCGAAAGCTACTATATTCCTGAAAAATGTCTCAGTGGAATCGTTTACATTTAGTGGTGGCATTGTCAACACTCCCTTTTGTTTGTCAAACTCAACATTTAAAAGGCATTCTGTTTCTTTGCCCTGTTGGAACCTGACCCCTGCTGCTTGCAACTCTGTTGCATTAGGGCATCGGGCGAAATCCGATTTCCTCCTCCTAGTTTCTTCAGACACAACTTGAGCTTTCCCTTGTGTATGTATGATGGATAAGAACTCGATTAAATGCTTCGCGTGGCGAAGCTCACCTGAGAGCAATAGTTTTCCTGTATTTCCAACATTCTTGAAGTACTTTTGTGCCAGTTCATTGAAAGATGGAGGACAGATAGCATCATCATCTAGGTATTTTTTCACTTTACCGGTGACGAATTTGCTGAACAATGTGGTTAGGAATCTAAGAGGAAGTTGGTTCTCAAACAGGAGCAGGTCATGTAATATATCATTGGATACCTGAGGGTTCCCAAAGATTACATCTCCCTTCTCCCTCATTCCAGGGAAATGGTTTTTCAAGAAAAGCACAATGATAAAAATTCCATCCAGCAAAATAATCTGAGAGAGTATCTTTTTCTCGGATTGTTTTGAGACTTTTTTGATGTAAAACTCTTGATAACAATCACAGACACGCTTCACTTCACTATGAACATGTGCAGCTAAATCTTCCTCAGAAAGTCGCAAGGTGTGTAAAAAATCGTAAAGATATTTCAGCTTGTACTCTTGCATACCTTGAAGCTCGATTCGACCATGATGGATGAAACCTATTGAGACCAATCGAGGCGTATAAGCTTCTTGATTCTGGCTACGATATTTCTCAGGTACTTTGGAGATACAAATCGTACCATAGTTGAGACTATCGCGAGAAAACCTGGATAGTTGCTCCTTGATCAATGACACAACTTCGGCAGCATCATCAGAGTCCTTTGCTGATTCTACTTGAGGAGGAGAAGGTGGATTAGGATTGAGAGCATCATCAGAGTCCTTTGCTGATTCTACTTGAGGAGGAGAAGGTGGATTAGGATTGAGAGCATCATCAGAGTCCTTTGCTGATTCTACTTGAGGAGGAGAAGGTGGATTAGGATTGAAAGCATCATCTTCATCGGCATCTTCTTCCTCATTTTCTTGACTTCCATTGGGTACCTCATTTTCTTCCTCTTCACTGGGCGTATCCGGATCCATTCCTGCAAACACATATGGTACACGTTATCAACCAATTTGAGCATTAACATCGTTTGTTTGCACAACCCGGAAAGCAAAAAATCACAATGAAAAAGGTTGGGGGAGAAAGAGGAGTACCTTCAAAACCAGATGCGACTGACCCACTGTAGAGAGGAAATTAAAAGTGTTGGGTTGATGGTTTTCAGTTCAGAAAAAGTTAAATTTCCAAATTGCTTGCGCCAGCCTGATAAGAACAGCCTCAAGTCTTTTCTTGTTTAATTTTTCTGGAGAAGACAATTAAGTAAACTTCTACTATATTAGAGGGCATCATTTTCCATTATGGTTCAATGTACATGGCTAACCAATGTTTAAATATTCATATTGAATTGCGTGTACGCAAGTTGGCAACATGGATTAATACTTTATAATGTACTTAAGCGTTGTTATTCAACGCGGATTATTATATTTAATGTTATTACTTGGTAAGATGCATGTGAAATGGCGTATGAACTCTGAGGCATCTACAACCAAATACTTAAATTTATTGCAATTAAGGCGTACCAACTCAGATAACGTGTTTAGGAATTTGATTTTGACAACCTACCAGCTTCAAATGAATGGTTAATTAATTGCAAATCTCTGTAATGTAGACTCCAAAAACAGAGTTTGACTTTGTTGATGAAACTAACTGGTGAAAAACGATGAATTTCCTTTGATTGCTGATGGTGCTGATAAACCAATGAAAAAGATTCTTGATTTTCAAATTAACTTTTTTTTCAGTTCAACATTAATCAAAAACCTCCTTGTACGATGATGGCTCAACACGAAATCGACATACCAAGCAACCAGTTGCAGGGGGATGTAGTAAATGATGATCCAGTAAGGAACATATTTTCCAGATTACAGCGTCTTCAAATTCTGATGGATGAAGCAGAGAGGAGAAGCATCAGGGAAAAAGTGGCCAGGGAATGGCTGGAAAAATTCATCAAGGTGACTGATAAGGTGGAAGATTGGTGGGATGAGTTTAGAGTCATCACCTCACAGAAATCAGGAATTCAGGTTGAAGAAGATATTTCAGATGACGAAGAAGGAGGAGCTAAGATAAATGCCAAGAAGAAAATGTCAATATGGTTTTCATCATCGTTGAAAAAGGTGCGCAGTTCATTTTCATATCTCTCTTCACTAATTAAAAATGATAGCAATGATCATATTGCTTCAAAAACCAAGGATTTAATTGCCAGTTTAGACAACATTCTTGAAGAAGCAGCTAGATCCAATGTCTTTGATCGCAATGGTGGTGGTGGTGGTAGTAGTAGTAGTAGTCAATCTCCTGCAATTTTGGGCCCAAATTTTGGTGAAAGTCAACCTGTTTCTAGCTCTGTTAGTGATCTTCTCCAAATTTTAGTTCCCGATGTTGGCAGCAGCAATAACAGAAAGGAAGAGGAAGTCAAGAAGATCAGAATGATCTCGTTACCAGCAGAGTGGGGTTCTGAGAATACCACCATAGTTAAACAGCTCTTTAATGATAAGAAAGTGAAGGAGTATTTTGATGTTAGAAGATGGATCAATGTTCCATCTGGGTTCGAACCAGCAGCCATTGCTAATAATCTCCTTGGGGAGAGACAAGAAGAAGAAGAAGAAGAAAGCAGGGAAGAAGGTCCTCAACTGCCGTGGGATTCATTATTGAGAATGATAGAAGAGTATTTTAGACCTAAGAGATTCCTGTTTGTCCTGGAAGATGTTGACCTAACTCACTGTCCTGATGTCATAAAACTCATGATGTCCCTCCGCAAGGGTGTTCCACGGAGCACCATTCTTGTCACATCACGCGTTCCCTGGGAGAAGCTACGCACTGAACTCCCGTATAGTGTCATCTATAATCCAGCTGAATTCTCGCCCCAAAAAGGCTGGAAAGCTCTGAGAGATAATATGTTATTGTCTCAAAGACCTGACTTCTCTGCAAGATGGGGCGAGATTGGGGAGGGAATTGTAACAAAATGCGGGGGCATGAAATTCAATATAAAGATTATTCAAAGTCATTTACAGTTCAAGGACACTATGAAAGAGTGGGAACAAGTGCTGCACCATGAGATATGGGAGATGGAAGACGTCAAGAAACTTGGTTACGGTCCTCTATACATCAGTTATAGTGACCTAACTGTACCATTGCAGCGTTGCTTCTTGAGCGTCGCGTCGCTTGGTTGCGACGCTGTCATAAATGTTGAGAACCTTATTAGATTGTGGATGGGGGAAGGTTACCTTGGCCCTCCAAACCAAACAGGTGATCATGATAAAAAGTTGGAGATGAAGGGCCTCCAATACTTCAATCAGCTGGTATCCCGTTCATTTTTCTATAACCTGGTCAAGAGTTCTGTTCATAAAGATAAAATCATAAGTTTCCAGATGGATGTTCGAGTTCATGGTTTTGCTCAATGGCTTCTGCATAAAGAAACTCCAACTTCTTCTAATGGCCATGACAGTTCCCTCATTCCTTATCCCCGATATCGTTCTCTCATGAAACCATCCGGACTTTCCCCTGAAGAATTGTCACAGTTCAAGAATGTAAGGATGTTGGATTTATCTTATTCTAAACTAAGAAAAATTCCAAGAGAGATACGAAATTTGATTCTTGTACAATACTTGAACCTTAGCGGCAACCCTTTGAAGCGATTGCCGGGCTCAATCTGTGATCTATCCTATCTGGAATTCCTGGATGTTCATCTCTGTTACATGCTGTCTAAACTTCCTGAAAGAATTGGGAAGCTCGAGCGATTGAGACATCTTAGAATTGATCACACTACAGACGAGTTACAAAATACATTGCCAAAAGGGTTCAAGAAACTGAGCACTTTGAGGACTTTGGATGTGTTCAGGGCCGGTGGTGAGTACAGTGATATCGCGGCATTGGTGGACTTTGATGATCTTGAAGAAATATGCATTGTCATTCACGGCAAAGTATTATTTGAGGATGCAAAATTGCATAGAAAGAACAAGATGAAAAGCTTGGAATTGTGTTTTGTCGGGGAAGGTCGGGGTGCGGAAGCCATAACATTCGTCAGGGCATCAGTCCCACCTCCAAACTTAGAAATGCTAAAGTTTGAGGGTTATCATGGACTGGAACTGCCATCATGGGCTCCTCAAATGAAAAACTTGAAGAGGTTAACTGTAAGATCAGCTTTGAAGCTCTCCTCCTTGCCTGATTTGTGGAAAATGCCATCTCTTGAGTTTCTTTGGCTTGATGACCTCCCAGGATTGGAACGTATAGATCGGAAATTCCTTGGACTCTCTAAGATCCAAGAGCAAAGTTCATTGGATTGGGTTACAATTGTGGGAGTGAAGATATTTCCAAGGTTGAAGACATTACGAATCGAATGTTTGGAAAAGTGTGAAATCTGGGAAGATATAAATGAGCATGATGTGACGCGCACTTTGAAAAAGATCTCCGTGATGACAAAGTTGGAAGAGCTAATCATTAATGACTGCCCAAAGCTTATTGTTTCTGATGAAGGCGGCCCCAAGGCAGACCAGCCAAAACTGCCCAGACGCATGCTTACAAGGATAAACTCGAACCTCAAGCTTTCAATAAACGGTGAGTTTACAGCTTCCTGTATTGGTTCCGAACTTGCATAATCCCGCTCCGACCAAAACGATTGTCCGGTTTGTTGTACTTAAAAAAAGTCCGTAATTTGGACAAACAATCTTTCTAGAACAGAGAGAGTACTTTTGACTGAATCAAATGGTTTTGCTTTTTACGTTTCCAACAGTTTTCATTTCCATCTTCTCACTCTCTTTCTTTCCACCCATTAACAGGCACGTGTTATACATACACAAGCAACTGATAAGGGGAAGTAACGAAAGTTGAAGTGGAGACACAATCAAGCTATATGTGGTTTGCTTTCGGATCATTTTAATTTGTCTTTGAATGCCATTTGTAACTCGAAATGTTTTTGTTTTTCTTGTGTTCTCGTGTGTTAACGCTATGAAGCTATAAGGCTTTCGGAACTGATTCACTGTTACTGATCAGTATAGTCACTGATGTATTAATCCTTCATTTGTGGTTCATGTAATGATAATAATTGGCACTGAGGTTAAATCAGAACTTTCTTGTGTGTGAAAACCATTTGTATGCAGCATCAATTGCCAAACAAATGTTTTTAAGGCCGAGAATCATTCCAATGGTTTGTGATGCCGGCGTGGCGTCTTCTTTCTCTCAATTAGAGACACACAAAAGAACTAGACCTTTGTGACTTTCTTCGGGATTTGTTGGAAAAAAGATACGGGACTATTTCAGAGAGAAAGGTCCACAACAACAAATGTTTTAACTTTCCTAACACTAATCTTTCAAGCTCCGAAACTAACTCAGCAGCCGCATGCTCAAACCATCCACCACCAACTTTTTTCCTTCAGATCTTTTCTTGAGGGAGGGATATCGTGGAGTTACCCACCACCAACGGGAAGAATCATGTTTTAGAGGGAAGAATCATTTTAATTCAGATTTTTATTCAACACTACTTGATTCGGTATTAAACTCAAAACTCAAGCCTAAGAGACCAGAAATCAAAGTCAAAAGACGATATCAATCTCAAGGAAGCAATTAGGACACACAATCACGTATCCTATTCTCTCTATTTTGGAGCATTGCCCCAAAATGAAGAGCTTTTAGCTGGGCTGAAGAAGGGTTTGATAGGTGGAAGATTAATTATGCTAATAAAAGCGTGTCATCTTCATGACTTGCTCTATGGATTTTGCTTGCGGAAAAAGCAAAAGAAACAGAATTCTCTGAACTCCGGCAGCTGGAGAGCTAGTCATATTTGTCTTCAGGGGCTGCCACAAGTGAGACCAGATGCCATTCTTGTCTAGTCTCCGTTCCGACATTGGAACCATTAGGGTATCTCATTTCTCCAGGACCCTAGTAAATTTGGTTGAAATGAGTGAGGAAATTCAAAAGACAGCAACACTATGTACTCATTCATATTTCATCAAGGAAAACGAATATGGAAGGTGTGCTTCATTTTTACGCTTTTCAACGGCATGGAAGTTGATTAGGGGCCAAACTGCAACATATACTCTACATAATCCTTTGCAGTAAACATTCCAAGTAGAAAATTTGAACCTCGAAATAATAACCATATAAATTCACTATTTCCTTGAATAGAAACTTGTGGTTTTAAAAATTTCAGTACAAAAAGCTTGTAATTTAAATCCGAGTGCACTTTTCCTGTAAATCTTGCCGTATGATTCTATTCGATTCACACTACAAAATCATCATCACAAAATCATCATCGGGTCCATACTGTTACTGCATTTTCTCTACAGGGTACAAAGAAGTAACAAATTAGTGATTTTAGAACTGACAGTAGGTGAGGCTGTTTTCTTCCTATCACGCCCAACCTGCTCGCATATACTGAATGTAATATACACGCCGAGAAGCTTGCACCTATCTCCAATATCTCCATTCTTAGTTCTGACATGGAAATGCAAGAGATTTGTCTGGTTTACCCTCAATTCATCGTTTCCAGTAAGTTGAAATGGACCCTTCACTATGGTTTAAGAAACACGTTAAGGGAAGTCTGGGAACGTTCGTCATGCTATTTATAAGTCATGAATCAGGCAAAATCTAAAATCATAGTGGTTGCAGTTCTTGCTCAGGTACAACAGAATCTACAGGCTTGTACGAAACAAGCGACTGCTGCTGCCTTCTCCGAATAAACCAAGCACCAGAAGCAGCTAATCCAATTATTAATATTACAACAAATACTACAAGTATAACCATGTAGTTTAGTCTCCATCTCCTGCATAGTAACATCAAAGAAAAACTTCAATTAAAACCCTCCAGTCACCACCTCCACCCACCTACGAATCTTAGGATAACACTTAATTGACACCAGAAAATTTTGATATTCTCATGCTTGCACGGACACACAATGAGAAATTTCAAATCTCCAACCACACTGGCTACCAAAAAAAAAAAAAAAAAAAAAAAAAAGAAAGGGAAAAAAAAAAAGATCATGCATGCAACAATGATGTAAAGCACAACAATACCCAACATAGTAATTTTTGAGCTTACAAATAAAATAAAATCCAGTTTTAGCAACTTCCATATTCTTCTCCAAATAGATGGTTATGATTTGATCATAAAACAACTTTAAATTCAGAAGCTTTAATATATCTCTTCTCTGGGGTCATGAGGTCACCAGTATTTCACCATAAAGTTTGTGCATGTAACTTGGCAGTATTTACCAAGCATATATTCACATGCTCTGAAAGTAATACACCAAAGTGAAAATAGAGATTAGTGAAGGGCGCCTGTCTGTCCCTAGAGTGTACCATCTTTTCTAGGCAAAACTGCCTATCCAAGAATCGCTCAGACCTCAATCTGATGCAAGAAGAATAGATATGGAAAAGAAATGATAATCTTAGGGGAAAGCTTCACCAATTTTTTGAGTAAATTATCTGAACCAAGTGCCCACATTTCAGCCTGAATATAAGGAAGGCAACCGACATCTACAGGACTCGGAGGAAATCTCTACGACTGTTCATAGAACCCCTAGTAATCCGTTATTTACCAAAAACACTAGATGGACTCCCTCGAGTTCTAGACACAATACACTTCCACACTATGAATATCACGAGATAAGAAAGCTGCTAGCAGAGGGTGATCCTAATTTGGTCAAAGCAGTCACAAAAGCTAGAAATAAATTCAATCTTCTATCTAACGGTAGTAGTTTTAGCAGCTTCTTACTTTCAACACATATCCAAAGAAGGAAAGACAAAAAAACTACAAGGTAAAAGAAAACAAACAGAAAAAGTGATGAGTTACAAAAGAAAGGACGAATATATAAAGGCAAAAGAAGATATTAGATTTTTCCAGATTGTCATACCGTGGCTGAGGAGGCTCTATATTCCAGTCGAATAATTTGTAACTTCCATAAGTATCGGGGAGTTTTACACGATTTTCAGCCAACCGGGATACAATATCCTACAAAAGCATATGTATAACATAAGTATCCTTTCACAAGTAAACAGAAACTATTAGGAAAGAGCAGCTTACCATTGCAGTTGAATTCGGCATACTATCAGCAGAACCAGGAGGATATATAGCCCATCTAATGAGTGAACCATTTCCTTTGGACGTAAAATTCAGCAGATGAACCTGCAAAGCCATCTAGAAGGTAAGGAACAAAAAACAAATGTTCAACTACTATGATAGAGTTTGGCTACAAGCAAGAAATGAATGTTTGCTAAAATGTCAAAATGTTGAACTGTTAAGAGTAATTTCATAATTCATAGTCTTTGAATTGGTCAACCTGTGATCCATTGATGTCTAACTCCTTTGCGATTAATTGCTCAAGTTCTGGGATGTGAGGCTTCAAGTCTGAGTAGTTGACACTTAAGGACATATAAAATGTCACTTGTCCAGCTTTAACCTCTTCTGCAAAAATTTATCCAGGGATACAAATTAGCAAATAATGGGTAAAGTCATACCCATGTACCATCACACTTCTGCACATGTATAAAGTAAAATAGCAAAGCAGACAACACAACAGGAACAATGGGTGAACATGGAATTCAGCTTGGCCAACTTCTAGTTAACAAAGAAACTGCATGTGCAACAGCAAACCTCAAGTTGTAACAGAAAGGACTTCACCAATACAACAAGTTGAACTGTCAGAATGTTAACTGTTCCATTTCAGGAACCAAGTCACACATATCAACAAAATTGGCAACGAATGCCGTCCTTAATAATAATAATAATAAAGGACGAAAAACAAAGGCCAATACTTCCCAAGAAAAGCAAAAGACAACTTAATGTAACTGTGTAAAAATCAAGAATCGGTTGAATTTGTAGTTTCAATGAAATGACAAGGATTTGACAGTAATCATACCAGAAGTATTGTATTGTGGCTGTTCTGTAGGAGCCAATGTTGGAACTACATCAGCAGTTGAGTTTGTATTATCCATCCCAGAGGGTGGTGGGGGAGACAAGCTGGAAAAGTTTAGTCTTCCCCACAAATCAGAACAATTAGTTTTCCAGAAACCAACTTTTTCATGTTCCCGATCATAAGTTACAAGAGTATTGCGGACAATAATCCCTGTCAAGGAATTTGATAACAGTGCTCAGTACAATAATATTGACCAAGAATCTAAGATGAAGCTCTTGGAAAAAACAATTTTTAACGCTTGTTACGAGATGATCAACATGCTATTATCTCAGATCTATACCTCCTAAAAGGGTAGTGGGATCTTTGCCATTCTGAAAGATTCCCAGGCAATATGCACCACGCACCTTAGAATGCTTTAAGAGATAAAAAGGAAAAGCAAAGAAAAATAGTCAGTCCTCACTTACTAGACAGACTCAAGATATAGCATAGGTTGCACAAGAGTCTCAGAAAAAAAGAGGATATCAGGAAACACCAACCCGGAACAAGTAATTTTCAGGTGAGAGCGCAAGCTTTTGACCATTGCTAAATACCATTTCAACCAAGGGAAATGTACTTGACAGTTGTGACGGATCACTGAGTCAACAAAAATAGATACCATAAAGTGATATGAGTTCAAGTACTTCACAGCTCTAAACATCTCAGTATGTCCTCCAAAATAAAACACACTACCTTCCAGCACCAGAGAAACAAATATCATTATAATTTGGATCAGGACCCTGGATCTGTTTCAGGGCGTGGACTTCCTTCATTATCTGCAAGAAGGTTAACAAGTTTTAGTTAGTTATCATAGAATACTATTAGAAAACAAAAGCCCACTACAGATCATAAATAACTCTAGCCATCAAAAAGAGAAAAAAAGAGAAAAAGAAAAAGAAAGGAGCAGGCCACAAAGAAGAAAACTCTGATTACAGCTAAAGGCATAAACATTACAAAATAAGGACACATCTTCCCTGAACCTTTGAGATAACATGTTCCTAGGTTGACATTGTGCCATTAAGTTTGACCAACGTAACATGTCTTTTCTAGAATTACTTTTACTTAGGCCCTTCTTCCTGGCTCAAAACTAAAACAAAAAATTAAAATAAACAAATAAATAAATAAGACAAGAAAGAGTAACCCACATCTTGATTCATTAGATTAATATCAAGCATTTCAAGGAACAATAATGTTTCATTGAAACAAAATTATAGATGCCGAATTCCTCATCTCATCAAATCAGAGATTACACTAGTAAATTCAGTTTCGTCAACACGATAGAGCACTACTGATTTAGACATCAGTTTCTCATCCCATAATTCATATTCTTTTTGTTTTGATTTGTTTTGTTTTGTTTTTAAGATTGTCCTGCTGTAAAACAAATCACTTTCTGATTCTCCCTGTGCATGCAAAATGCTCATGAGCCTTGAAGATCCAAAATGAATCTCAACAGAAAGGGAAATAAGAGCTCAAATCAGGATATTTAAATTATTAAATTGACACTTACGGCAGCTTTGAATGCTGTGAATGCTTCTTCAGGTAGGTAGGCATATGTTGTACCACTATCAAGAACGGTTCCATGTTTTCGATCAAAAACACGTGGATCCAAAGCCAAAGCCTTCCCAGCAACATGCATCTCCTTCAGCTCAATGTTATAATAAGGACTGTTTCCATCCCAAGACTAGAGTAAATGTGTGAGATGTAAAAAGAGCATGTTAGGAAACACCTAACATTCTGCAGAAAATTACTTAACTACTTTTCAAATGTACCTGCGTGCAGGGTCTGAGCGAGTGTAGACCATATCAGCTGGGGGCGAAATTCCACCAAGAACCATTGCACCGCCTCCAAAATCCATCCCCCCATAACATAGAGAAAAAGAATCACTAATAACATTTTTTTTAACCAGTTGATCCACTATACTGAGTTCTCCACGGCCCAAGCCCATTATACCATCAGCGTGCTGACTATAAAGATCACCAGTTTCCATGTTTTCACAACCAAATATTGCTCTCTGAGGCGCGAGTTCGCTTAAATTTCCAAAGGACACAATATCCACCCCAAGAATCCCGCTGCTGGAACTCATTTCTGCATATTGCCTATCATATATGCAATTCTCCCTCTCAGCATCACAATTGCAGTCAATATTGCATTTCAGTGTCTCGTAGCTGCTAGATAAGTCTGGTTGAAATCGGGGATCCTATCCCACATGAAAATATAGAAGATAATAATATTCATCAGAATAGAAGGCACTCAGACTGTCAGACATTCACAAAAACTTGGAAGAAGAAAGAGCAAAAGGGATCCTAATAGATGCAATGGTAGATACATATCAAGCACTCGCTCTTAGATAGAGGCATTGCCCATAAAATCGGCCAACGGCAATGTATGTATCTAATTGCATACAGAAGTTCGAAATCCACCACAGATAATAGGTGTAATGCACTTGTCTACCCTTACACAAAGGAAGGACCCAACATAACCTTCGAAATTTCCCCCCATGTATACCGTACGATACCCAGGTTACAAGAACCTTCCATGAAGAGCACTTTTATACAGTTGCAGTCAATAATATAAAAGGTGTGCAAATTCAACAAGAAACAAGTAAAGATCTAACTTGATGCGGTAAACCATTAAGTTACAATCCTCCTATTCATCTACAAGTCCCAACTCGTAGTGGGTTGTCCACACCAGACAGAACTCATTGTTCATCAACTATATACAGATTCAAAGATTTAGCTTGGTAAGAAACAAATTAATATTCCACAAGAAAAAATAAAATTGCATCTTATTCTTCATCAATTGATTGAAGCCACTTATTCCCCACCATTTGAGGATGCACAAAGATTCATTTCAACCGCATACAATCAAAATGGTAAAATGCATTTGAGAAAACGAATCATGTGAATGAGTAAGTATGATACATATGCAGTGTAAAAATAGGAATTCACGATTAAAAGAAGGACTCATAATGCCAGTACTCAAAAGCCGAAACAATCATATAAATATCAATTAGCAAGTGAAATAGCTGATTGACCTGATGCTTGCCGCACTGCTCACATGTAGAACAAGGAACATAAGTAACAGTACTCCCCGTGTCCACTATCAATGCAAATCTCTGCGGCGGAGTTCCGATCCACAACCGCGTAGTGTAATACCTGCAACAGTCAATTTTATCACATCATTCGCATCCCACTCAAATCACACATCTGAAAGTCAGCGAGACCGGAAAGGCAATGCAGTCAAAGACCAAATGAGGAACAGCTCACCCGTTAAGCAGGAGATCATCGTGGAGAGACATGCGGGCATTAGGACGGCGACTCTGGAGGTGACGACGGGACTGCTGGACTGAGGCAACGGAGGACGACGACGGCGACGACTGATTGAGTCGAGGAGGAGAGAGGAATAGAGGGAGGAACATGGTGGTTTGGCGACTCCCACCGGAACCGGCACCGTTCTCTCCGCCTCCTCCGCGGTTGTCGGAGACGAAAAAGGTTTTATTAAAATCAAGCTGGGAGATTTGAAGAGATGACGAAACTACGCCATGGAAGCACAACAGGGAGGCGAATAGGCAGATCAGGAGGACTTGGGTACTTCCGATCGCCGGAAAAAATCGCGGCCGCGCCATAATTTTGGTCCGGCCGATCCTAAAAGTGGGAGAAAAGTCAGCTCTGGTTTTTAGAGTAATAGAGAGAAGATTTTGGGAGTTTTGAGATGTGGGGCCCGATAAGGAGGTTGATGGTGGCCCAGACTGGGGGTTGCAGAAGGTGCCTATAAACAAACAAAATGTGTAGAATCGGCAACCTTTGTAAAATGGTAACCGAAGGAAGAAAGTTGTTTCCTCATTCCTGCGTGTTGGATTAAAAAATACTTTCACTAGTTTTCTGTTTTCCAAAAAAATAAATAAATAAATAAAATCATTAGGTACAGTCACAAATCGGTGTAATAATCTTGGTGTTTCATAAAAATTCGGAATAAAACTGGTCTCAAATTAATACTAATGTAATAATTAGTTTGCTATGTGAAAGATGCATTTTCAAAAAATTCCATCACATTTTAATAAACATATAATTGATCTCGTCAATGGACTACTACTTGATCTCGGCCGCGATGGACTACTACTTGATTATTTTTACAATTTCAATGGACTACTACTTGATCTCGTCATTTAATACTTTTGAATAATGAAATTTTGTACTTACGAAAATAACTTCTACTTTGTAAGTTATAATACAGTCAGAAATGAACAATCTAAAATTATAAGTGATCAACAACAAGAAGAAGTCTTTTCTCCACTAGATGAGGTCCGATATAAAGATCATTCGTCGGGGTTGTGCGCGAACAATACACAATCTTTTCTTCAAATTTAAATAATTTAAGTTAATTATTTTTTGTAGTTTTCTTTCCAAATTCTTTTAGGCCTATGCTACGGAAAAATTTGCATTCATACCCAAAATTTTGGGCTCATCGTTAATTCTATCCTATTGATTTTCGATTAGCCAATTTTATCCTTACTATTTGAAATTTTTGTCAATTCCGCCCAATTGGCCCAATTTCCGTTAAACTTAACGGATTTTCGTTAGTTTTCAACCAAAAACACCTTGATAGTTTCAGAAAATTATAAAAATAACAAAAAATATAAACATAACAAAATAATCTCTTTTTATTCATTTTTTTCTATTTCATTTTATTTCTTTTTACTATTTTTCATAACCATCAAAATATATTATACGATCTTTTAAAAAATAATTATTTATTTTCAAACACTATCTTTCATGTGCAACACATGTGATTTGGGTCCAAGGGTAATTTTGTTTTTTTAAATTTTTTAAATTTTAAATTTTATTTTTTTATTCGTTATTTTTTGATATTGTTTTTCTTATATTTCTCGACTTGTATATATTGATTCTAGTATAATTATTTAATTCCAATTATTAATTTGCCTTTTTATTTCGTAGATTATAAAAAATTAAGATAAAGAAAATGGAGAAGAAAAAATCAAGTTGAAATCAACATGAAAATTAATAGTTTATCATTCTAAACAAAGAGCAAAAAATTCTATGAAAAAAAACTGTGAAAACAAATCTTTCCTCCTTGACTTCTCGTAATTCATATATGAGTTACGAAACATAAATTTTACTTGATCTAGCCTAAAATGATTATTTTGTTCTTTGTATTAAAAACCAATAAAAATTAGAAAATCATTTGAAACATGAAAAGGTGTTAATTTAATTAGTCCACAACGATGAATTTATGTAAATTTGGTTAGCACTATTTTTATTCTTTTTTAATAATTACTTTATTTTTTACTGATTGGCGATTGCTAAACTATATAAGCAATCATTGAATTTCATGAAAAAGATAAATACATGTATTTTTTAGCAAAATAATTACTAATTCATACTACCTGACTTGTATTATTTTTATTACAATGAACAAAATAATCATTTTAGGTTAGATCAAGTAAAATTTATGTTTCGTAACTCAACTATGAATTAGAGGAAGTCGAGGAGGAAAGACTTGTCTTTCCAGATTTTTTTTGTAGATTTTTTTTGCTTTTTGTTTAGAATGATGTACTATTAATTTTCATGTTTATGTCACCTTAATTTTTTCTTCCTCATTTTCTTTACCTTAACTTTTTTAATAATCCATGACATAAAAAGGTAAATTGATTATTTAAATGTAATAATTATACTAGTATCTATATATAAAATTCAGGAAATATAAGAAAAAGAATCTCAAAAAATAACAAATAAAAAAATAAAATTTAAATTTTAAAAATTTAAAATGACAAAATTATCCCTGGACCCGAATCACATGTGTTGTACATGAAAAATAAGTTTGAAAATAAATAATTATTTTGTAAAAAATCATTTAGTATATTTTCATGGTTAATGAAAAGTAGTAAAGAGAAATAAAATCAAATTGAAAAAAAAGAATAAAAATGGACTATTTTGTTATTTTTATATTTTTGGGGGTTATTTTTATAATTTTCTAAAACTATCGGGGTATTTTTGGTTAAAAACTAACGGAAATCCGTTAAGTTTAATGAAAATTGACCCAATTGGGCGGAATTGACAAAAATTTTAAACAGTAATGACAAAGTTGGCTAACCGAAAATCAATATGATAGAATTGACGATGAGGTCAAAGATTTGGGTATAAACGCCAATTTTTCCCCTATCCTACCTCTTTTGATTTGAATCCTTAATTTATAGTTTTTACTTTTCTAACCAAAGCATCTATCGAGCTCCCATGCACATGCTTGAACCATTTTTACCGTGATTCTCCATTTCATCGTCTATCACGCACTACCCCTACATTTATTCTAATATACTTATTTCAAAATTTATCCAATCTAGTTTGCCTACACATCAATCTTAATATTCTTTTTTTCTATTGTTTGCATGTTTTGTTTATTTACCTATTTAGTAGCCCAACATTCTGATATGTACACTATCGTTGGTCGAATGGCAATTCTTTTAGTGATTACAGATTGAAATGTTAATTAACAATTTCATGATTTCTTTAAAATTTTAGTCTCACTTATCTTTAATACTTTACGTATATTTAAAAATTTGGATTAGCGTGCAAAATTGACTGTCTTTTCAATTAGAGATAGTCAATTACTAAATGATATAATAATTAAATTAAAGAGTTTACTATGTCTTTTGATAAATAAAAATCTCAACGTTCCACTGTAACAATTGATATTGTTGTACTATTTTAATTTAACAAAGAAAATTATTTTTTGAAATGAATGGAGTAATTTTTAAGTTTATATTTAATGATATACAATTAACCACCTATTTTTCACATGCTCTGTGGTAAAATAGCTATTACTTTTAAGATTTTAAACTTCCCTTTAGTCGAGTAGTATTATGTTTTCAGATAAAATGTATAACATTTTGTGCCAAATTTTACACATTTTTTTACACGAGCATAAATTCTTTCTCACTCACCATTTCTTACTCAAATATTCGGGCAAGGGTAATCCCCATGAGCAGCTAGGATGGTAGAATCCCCTTGGATTAAATTAGCCTGTTTGATTTGGAAGAAAAATCCTCCAAAAAAAAAGAAAAATTGTTCATTCATTTCCATATTTTTTTGAAATTTTATTTTGAATAATAAACAAAATACTTATTATTAAATACAATTCTATCTATCTCAGGAAAAAGTCCACATTGAGTTTTTGGTCTTTTAAAATATAATTTTTTTTAAAAAAAAATCTCACTGTTAGTAGTGTAATCTCCCTATTAGTAGTGTATTTTGAAATATAAAATACAATTCTATCTCCTTGTTAGTAGTGTAATCTCACTGTTGCTTTTCATTATCAGTGGTGCAGAATTAGCTAGCAATACATGATATATCTCAAAAAATAGAAAAAAAAAAAGAAAGAAAAAAAATGTATTGAGATAGGTAACACATACTGTATATGGCTATGCAGATTAATAATTGACTCTCAGCCTTTTTGAACTTCTAGGTATGTGAAGTTCGATATTATAAGTAAAATGTCGATTATGTGTCTCAACTAGAATCCTCTTTATCTTTTAGTAATTGAAATTTTGTTAATACAAATTTTATCTATATAATAATTTCTTACATATGTTCGTCCCTCTATTTTGCAGGACAAATGGGATTAGAAAGTCAAAATTTCACGAATGAGACACATGAAGTTAGAAAATAAGAATTTCTATTTTTTTTTTTGTATGAATTGATTACTGAGTGGCCAGCTATTTCAGTAGTAATATTAGTAATTGCACATAATTGACATTTTTTTTTCTAATATTCCTTTGTATATCTTTAGATTAAATTTTAATGCTTAGTATTGTATTGTTTATATTATTTTAATTATTATTTAATAATTATGATCATATTACCAAGAAGAAATTAAATATTAGTAATTAAATACAAAAAAAAATTGACATACCGGTAGTATAATTTTGCGGCATTTGTTACTGACACAAATAGTCATGCAACACTTAAGCTAAAAAAAAGTGCCGCATTACTAATGCGGCATTAGTCAAGTGGCAAAAAAAATAAATGTCGCAAATGTTAATGTGGCAAATATAACAAATGACATGATAAATGTCGTGAAGAGTATGAGGCATATTATCAATGTTGCAGAAGTACCGCATTTCCTTGCGGCATTTTTAAAATGTGTTGCAAATTGACAACTGCACTTATCACGACACTTTTGATAATGCCACAATTTCTATCGTAATCACCTTTTTGCGGCACTTTTGGTACTTTTTATTGCACATTTTCTGCATTGCGAAAAGCCCCTTTTCCTATAGTGGTTTAATTCTCCATATATAGTTTTAACTTTTGTTTCTATATTTGTATTGGTAGTGCCTGAGTGAGAATTCATTTTATCTCTACCAATGCTTCCTCCATCCATCCTCGCCATCATATCAGAAAGAGGTGATAAAAATAGTTGATTTATGTCTACCTCGTTCAGATGGATCAATAAGAAAATTATTATCACCTTTATAAAAATGTTTACCATTTTTCATGTATGGATTTTTATTTTTTTTAAAATTTTTGTTGTTTAGGGTTGAGCAACTCGAGTGAAATTTGTATATAGCTTTTGCTTTCATTTTACCAGCAATCATAGTCGTAAGAGGGTAACTAATTCTTGATCTATGTTTTTTTTCTTTTGTAGATTTTTCTTGAATTGTTTTTTCCAATGAACTAATTTTGTTTTTTTATTGATTTACGATTTTTATATAGATTTTTTTTTTATGAAAGTAGTATTTTTTTTTAATAACAATTGAAACTCATATAAGAGCATATTGGTAAATTCGGAAATAAGGATTTAATTGTAGGAATGGA